GATTCTTTGTTTGACAGGAACTTAGCTGCCCTCCAAGATATACACACAAAACTATAATAAGCACTTGTACATTTGTACATAAAGTCAGGAAAGTTAAATTAGACTTGGAATGAAGTGTGAGGAAGTATTTATACTATGCCAATGCTAAACACAACGGTTGCTTGGTTTTATTTGAGACCAGCACTCTGTGCTGCCCAGACCAGCCTCAAACTCCCAGACTCACGTAAACCTCCTGCCTCAGCCTCCAGAGAAGCTGTGATTAGACTTTTGGATTAATTTCCTATGAAAAGGAACATGTGAAAACCTCTCAAGGAACTAAAACCCAATAATTTCAGCCTTGCTCAGTCTTAGTCTGCTCAACTATAATGCTACAGGCCAAGCAGAAAAAGTTTCTACCTGACCCTGCCTCTCACTCTCACTGCCCACCTGGTTTCAATGAGGTAAGCAGTGTATGTTTCTTGCATGTTCACTGCGTTTCTTCCAGTTCTCTTTTCTGCTTCAGAAACACTGATTTCTATCTTCTTCAAGGAAAAATTATTTTCTGTCATCTGTACAAAAATAAATGAGATAACAACAAGAACAACTCTTTAAGATAGCATTGAAAAAAAAAGTTATTTTCAAAAACTCATTACTGGTATAGTATGTATTTCAAGACAGTTTCTTGTACTTCTTGAGTTTTTAGGTACAGCTAAGTGACAGTAGCTAAATGATAACCTCTTTTTACCAACATATTGTAGCATGGGAACTTTTCCAGAGGTATATCAATAGGTATCACACATTTATTTTTCTAAACCTAGACGCTTCACGTAAGTCACCATGAAAAAATAATCCAGGAGAAAAACAAAACCCTTGAGAACACATTACATGTAAAGGATTCTAGGAGGAACAAAGGGATGGTGATAATGGCTGTTGTACCCCACCTGTAAGCTTCCTCTCTTTGTGGAGCTTTTGTGGGATTTGAAGGGCCCACACCTCCTACCTTACTCTCTCTCGCATGCATTCTCTCTCTCTCTCTCTCTTGTGGAGCTTTTGTGGGATTTGAAGGGCCCACACCTCCTACCTTACTCTCTCTCGCATGCATTCTCTCTCTCTCTCTCTCTCTCTCTCTCTCTCTCTCTCGCTCTTGCTCTCGCTTGCGCTCTCCTACTTGCTTGCTCTTACAAGCCACAAACAAAACCTGGAAATTAAAAAATAACGATATATGAAGAAGATTAGAAAATGACCACACATATCCAGGGAAAGGCTCAAGTTTACAAAAGCCTGATCTTTGGCTCAGAGAACATACAGCAATTTAGAACAAACATAACAAACCCAAATACTAACAAATCCTGGGTAGGAGAATCTCATTTCCAGAGTTATCACAATAGATTCAGATGTCCAGTTTTCAACAAAATACTCAAAAGGCATATGAATAGGAAAGCATGGCCCATAAAAAAACAACACAGCAGCAGGGATTACAGGCATGGGCCACTGGGCCTGGCAAAAACAGCTTCAAGAGGTATCTGTTTACCCATTTCATAGCAGCATTACTCACAGTGTGCAAAATATAGAAGCAACCCAGGTGCCCATTAACAGATGAGTCGATTTTAAAAATGTGAAAATGAGGTGAGAAATTGGGGCCATGGTAGGCTGGCTAGGAGACAAGATATAACCCACCACTTATGATGATCCAGACCTGAAGCTGAGGACAGGATATGCCTCTGTAACAGATCCAACCTGTCAATGACAGCCAAGATTCATGTCAGAACCCCCTCCGACAGACCAGATCTGAAGGATATACAAGGGAGTGGCCCCTGACTTGCCACCATTGCTATGACCTTGCTGTTCTGCTGTCCTATTTCTGCAGAGGCTCATCCTGCTTGCAGGACATATCTCTTTTTGTCATGTCTTCCCTTTTGTTTTACATTAAATGAAAGTTGTGTTTAACTGTTCCTCCGTCATCCCAGCCAATTCTTTGGGCAGGACAGAAAGAGCCCAGAATCATCAGACACTGCAGCATCCGGCAACAACAGGGGTTCTGGCTTAGTGGCAGAAAGAATGCTTAGTATGCACAAGGCCCTGGGTTCAGTCCCGGGAACACACACACACACACACACAGTGGCATACACAAAATAGGGAGTATGACTCAGCCTTTAAAAAACTATAAAATTCTGACACATACAACACAGATGAAATGTGGAAGTATGTTAACTGGAATAGGCTAGTCAAGAATTTATAACTACTACAAAACCCCAGGTACATGAAGTCCTTAGACTAGCGAAACATCACTGAGACAGAACATAGAATGGTGGTTGCCAGGGGCTGGGAGGGAACAAAGGGTAATTACTCTTGAATGCACACAGAGTTTTGATTTTGATGAGTTCCAGAGGTGAGCTGTACAACAATGTGAAAGTATGACTATGACTGACATATACATTTAAAAATGTTTAAAGATGACAATGTATATACTTTGATTGATATTTAAAAGAGAAAATGGCATCACGCCAAGATTAATGATTCTTAATATTGCTTAATTTTTATTTAACTGTAATCAAATCACTCTCAAAACCAAAATATTTTAAGTAAAAGGCATTATTTTCAGCAGATAAGTCAAGAACAACCACAAAAAACAGCTGGGTGTAATGGTACATGTCTATAATCCGAGCACTTGGGAGGCTGAGGCAGGAGAATTGTTGTGAGCTCAAGACCAGCTTGAGCTGCATCTTGTACTCTGAATAATTACTACAAAGACAACAACACGCAATGTATTATTAACTGTCCTACTACCCTGTTTTGAAACTGCCTCATTGCTATTTTTTCATTAAAATTAATTTTAAAAAGCTTTTAAAACTGTAGATGAGGAGTTGGAATGTCTGTGGCATTTAATTATTCAATCATTTAGATCATCCATTTATGGTAATAGAATTTATTACTACAATGAAAATTGTAAGCAAAAAATAAAATTAGGGCCAGGGCGATAGCTCAGAAGAGTAAGTATTCCTGGCAAGCGCAAGGGCCTGAGTTCAATCCCTGGTTCCACCAAAATAAATAAATAAAAATTAAATTAAATTAAAAGAAACAGGCCAAGCCAGGCATGGGGGCACAAGTCTGTAATCCTAGTACTTGAGAGACTGAGGCAGGAGGAGCACCATGAGTTTGAGGCCAGCCTGCACTACACAGTGAGACCTTGTCTCAAAAAAAAAAAAGAAAAAGAAAAAGAGACCACAACTATTTAGGCATACTGACATATATGGAGATAACTCAGAATAGAAATAATCAAAGAAAACCAAAAAGAGCAAAAATTAAAATTATGGCATAGCTGAAAAAAAATGCTGAAGGAAAAGGAAAATGATGAAAGATTATTTAAAAATGGAAAACTAAGAACCAATTCTTGAAGAAAATGCAAGACCCAATGGAAGCAATAATCATAAATATAATTAAAAATAGAAAAACCTTTGCTTGATTAAAAAACTAAACTAAACTAAAGCTTCTAATTGAAAAGCATATGGCCCATGCATAATGAATTAGGAAATGTTAAGAAAAAAACCTTAACAAGGTAGAGGCAGAAAAGAAGCAAGTTCCCTATAAAAGAATGAAGACCAGATTTGCTTTAGATGTCACAATAATAAATCCTAAATGACAAAGGAACATCATTCATGGGACAGGCTTGAAATACCAAACTTATCAACATACTGCTCTTCCTAAAACCTTCATTACAGCAGAACCCTTTTATTTAGTTTTTGAGACAGGGTCTTGTCGTGTAGTTTACTGTCCAGTCTGGTCTCAAACCTGTGCTCTTCCTTGCTTCAGCCTCCCAAGTACTACAACTACAGGCATAAGCCACTAGGCCCAGCATCCACAGGATAATTTATAGAAACTGATTAAGTTGTTCTTAAATTTTATTTGTAAATGTGAATATGTAGAATAGCCAAAACACAATTCAGAAAAAAATGTATTTTGCCCAATTTCTAAGCTTAGAGACCAGTGGAAGTGAGAATCCAGTAACTGACCCTTACACTTAAGGTCAATTCATTTTGAGTTTTCTGTTCTTTCTGAGACAGCATTTTGCTATACAGTTCATACAGTCTTGAACTCACTTTGTAGCCCAGGTTGGCCTGGAATCTGCAATGATCCTCCTGCCTCAGCCTCTGAAGTGCTGGGGTTACAGTCTCACAGGTGTGGGCTGCCACACACAGCAAGGTCATTTTATTTTATTTTATTTATTTATTTATTTATTTATTGGTATTTTAGGGAAGGGTCTACTGGGTGCTCAGGATGTCACTACTTTACATCACATTCCTAGTGATCCTCCTGTTTACAGCCTCTCAAATTTTGGGATTACAGGCACACACCACCATGCCCAGTCTTAACTGTGGTCTCAGCCAGCCCCAGGGGCGGGGCTGGCATAGCATGCCCAGGGATTGAATCTTTTGTTCCTGCCCCTGCTTGTAGGTGCTTTAATCCACTGAGCTACTTGGCTGGACCTTCAATTCATTTTAACAAATATATCCAGGCAGGTCAGAAGGGAAAGGTCCCAATATCTACCTGCTACACCCCAATTTACACACCTGCTACACCCCAATTTACACACCTGCTACCACACAGAAAAGTAACTCAAAATGGCTCATTCACATATATACAGGAAAGAACTAAAGCTCAAATTTCTAAAAACAAATGAGAAAATCTTGTGAACTTCAAATAAACAGAAAACCAAACCATACTCCAAGAAAGAAAAAAAAAATCATAGAAAATTCATGAATATCAAAAATTTCTGCACTTTGAAATCTAACTTTGTTAGGAAATAGAAAAACAGTACCTGATGGGAATGACAAAAATTGTATGCAGATCTTACACCTAATAAAAAAAATTTATAACCAGAATATACAAACACAACTCAATAATGAAATAAACCATCCTATTAGGAATGCAAACAGCCAAGCACAGTGGTACATGCTTGTAGTCCCAGCTACTTGGGAGGCTGAGGACGGAGGATCATGGGGATGTGGTTATGGCTTATGTCTAGATGTTACCCCAAAGCCTCATGGGGTTAGAGGTGGGGCTTTATCAGAGATCCCTGGATCTAGAGTGTGCGATGCTGGGACTGGTGCAATGCTAGGCTCAAGGACACTAGGATTAAAGCTGTGTGTGCATCTGCCCTAAGTATCCAGGATGAAATATTAAAGGATAGAAAGTTGTGGTTGGCCCTGGTTGCTTTGCTATCTTTTGCCTGTAATAAACTGTTTCTCTTTTGCAATGCCCTGGAGCGAGGTGATTATGAACTAAAACTTCTACAAACTGAGTTAAATAAACCTCTCCCTCTTTAACTCTGGGTGTGGGGTATTTTGCCTCAGCAATAAGAAAAGTAACTAAGACAAATACTCAGTAAAACAAGGTCTCAAACAAACACAAAACAAAATATATGAAGAGATACCTCACCAAAGAAGATACACAAATGGCAGTAAGCACAAGAAAAGATGCACATCACCACCATGGGTTATTACAGAAATGCACATAACACCACTTCACAACCTATACAGCTACAGTCACAGGTAGACAACACTTAAATGCT